TAAACTTGGTATTAAGCATGGTTGAAAAAATCGCTAGACGCTCCTCGTTAGGGCGCCTAGGCGGGGATTAATCGGCGCCTAGGTGCCCGTGTATTTTTTTTTTAATTTTTAATTTTTAATTTTGTTTAATTTTTTTTAAGACTCGATAATTATAAACTATTTAATACTTTAATAATTAATACTAAAATATTAAATATTAACCTAAAAAGCATCTAGATTCTAGAGTTTGAACAATTTAGGGTTATTTTGCTCAAAATGATGTCGTTTCAAGTGAAATAACCTATTTAAAAAAGAAGGGAACAATAGCTAATCGGCCTTTTTAAAGCTATTTCTAGTTTTTCTTTTCTTTCAGCTTTTGGTTTACTTGTTGATGATATTAAAGGATTGACATCCATGATTGGTGATGTCGAATTCAGCTTTGCTAGGCGATCTGCGAATCGTGCTGCCCGCACTGTTGCCAGGGAGGTTTTTTCTGTGTCAGGTTGCGGGGAGTGGTTTGATACATCGCCCCCCTTTCTTGTTGATTGTGTTGCGTTTGATTTAATGAATTAAGTTTTTGTCTTCACAAAAAAAAAAAAAAAAAAAAAAAAGCTAATCAGCCGAATAGGTTTTCGTTGCCTAGGCGGTCAACGCCTAGGCGGCCAACTACCTAGACCATCGATTATGGTGATACGCTAGGTGGCCCGCCAACGTAGGTGAAATTTTTGCAACATTGGTATTGAGTGAAAAGTTAATGTTTCTGATTATGTCTTCGGTACCCATCTATGCTTAGTTTATTAGTTCAGTAGACAGTATTTAAGAAAAAAATCAAGATTCGAATCTCGATAACGACAGTGTGGGACCTTGTCTACTGAGTCATTGAGTCCGTTACCGTGATAATTCCACCTTTTGGGAGAAGGAAATGAAATAAAATAAGAATTCAAAGATAAGGTATGTATGGTGTGGCATGCTTATTTAGTTATTTTATACAAAAAATTTATGCCCCTCCGAGAAAAAAAATGTAGTGGTGTGCACCGACCAACTCACTTACCTTTGTTTGGTTAATGTTTCCCTTTCTATTTATATAATGGCATTAGCTTAGCTTCCAGCTGGCAAGAGGCTAGTTTTTATTAAACTTCCCAAATATCAAATCAAACACCTCCATTCCCCATTAATGTTGAAAACTAAAGCTCCACTAGTTTTAGATGATAGATTGTGATTTAAAACTCCCAACACCTAGCAGCATCCAGAATCTTTTGTTAAATAACATATACTTTTCCTTTCTCAACCACCTCTTTCATTCTTCTCCTTTCCATACACAAATTTTTCTGTCAAAACAGATAGAAATTAGTAATTAACATGTAAATATACTTATAAAAAGGACATGCGTATATTTTATTTTTTAAAAAAAACTATTCATTAATTTTATAATAATTATTACTAATTATAAAATAATTTTTAATTATTAATTATATAATATTTTAAATAATAATTTATTAATAATATTTATAAATTTAGGAAAACTCTTCTTACCCTTCCTAATTTCCCCCCTCTTAAATTCCCTCTATAACATGGCTTCTAGTTATTAGGTGTCATGAATTGGCTACCCCACTAACAAGTTATTAGGCGTCATGAATTGACTACCCCACTAACTTTTAACGAATTTATTGATAACCAAACAAGCCCTACTTTTATCTCTATAACTGAAGTGGATTTTGATATAATAATAATAATAATAATTAAAGAGCTTGTTTGGTTATCAATAAATTCGTTAAAAATTAGTGGGGTAGCCAAATGCCAATTCATGACACCTAATAACTAGAAGCCATGTTATAGAGAGAATTTAAGAGGGAAAAAATTATGAGGGGTAAGAAGAGTTTTCCTAAATTTATAAATATTATTAATAAATTATTATTTAAAATATTATATAATTAATAATTAAAAATTATTTTATAACTAGTAATAATTATTATAAAATTAATGAATAGTTTTTTTTTTAATAAAATATACGCATGTCCTTATAAGTATATTTACATGTTAATTACTAATCATAAATAACTAATTTTATGAAACATCTCTTTTTAAATTGCTAAAACAATTCATTGGTGAAAACCACTAACATAATTTGCTATCTGCTAATTGGCTTATTGCCAAATAAGGTCAAAATTTATCTCTTTTACGATCCATTTAGAAACCTGAGAACTATTTACAATAAAATTATTCATTTTCTAGCTGAATGTCAATAAATTATCTTTTTATATTTGGATAAAAATTAAATGAATTACATTTTTTTTCCTGTTTGGATAATTTTTCTAAAATGAACGTAATATATTATTTGTTATATAATAACAATAATAATAATTACTACTCTATATGTCGTATTCGATGAACTAATTAAAAGGTAATGTTATTTGTTTCCCATTAAGAAATTACTAGAAGTAATGGATCGGAGAGGCACTGCCCAGTGGTGATGTATTGATTGCATTATTACTTTAGCATGCAGTAACCATGGCGTAGTGGAAATGGCTGATTTTGCACATAATAAAAACTATATAATCCCTGTGGGCATGCATGCATATATGCATAAACAATCCACAGTGGTTGGGTGGCAACTAACAAGTGGGGTTTTTTAATTTATTACTATGACTGAATGAATGACTTTATGGATGCATGAAGTGGACTCACTAATTCTGATTTCTAGAGGATGGGCAGCCACAACTAGCTACTTACTCAACTAATAAACCATTAACTAACCCATACTAGTTCAAGTGATAAATGAGCTCTCTTTGTAGAAAAAATTTTTGAGATAACTCGGGTTCAATTTCTACAAGTACTCTGACGATTCTTTCTAAGCCAGTTCCCGTGCCTCTCGAAACGAGCGGAAATTAGTCGGGTAGAGATTTGAACTGTAAGACAGACGGAAAAAGATCTGAAACACCACGTGATTTACTAAAAAAAAAAAAAAAAAACCATTAACTAACAGTGCTCTTATTATTGTACGTACGTGCACCCTTCTTGCATTATTAAGCCCCGCCCTTAGTTGCTATTTCTTAATAGCCGCCCCTCTATTCACCCTTACCCAGCTTTGGCGTGGCTTTCATATCTGTTACGAATTAGGATATATATATACTCCAATTCTCCAAACGTGTCAACTTGCAAATTTTCTTCAATAAAGTTTCAAGTCGTGCTCGGTTATGTATGGTATTCAATTCAAAACTAGACTCGATTTTGGATTTGGCAATGTTTAAACTTGAGTTAAAATTTGGACAATTTTAGTTAAGTTTGGCCAGAGTGTTAACTTGATAACCATGCATAATGTTACAAGTTCGATTTCCAACCGGAATGGTTTATTGGCCTTCTCAATTTGAGCTGATCAGCTATTGACAACCTAAGTTGGTTTACCTCATTGTGGTCTTTTGTTGATTAAGATCACAAGCTAGGCAGCTGGTTTATCTAATAATATACATTCTCAGATAGTGATTGTGAGTTTTTCTCGTTACTTAAAAAAAAAAAAAAAAAACTTGAGCTAGTCAAAATTAATCATGGGTAATAAAATGTTATGAATTATATTTTTTAGAATTTATGAAATTTGAGTAATTGGTGAATTATTTGGATTCCACTTCCTAATAATGGCAAATGAAATGATTAGTCATACATATGATAATCTTCAATCTTGCAACGTTTGTGTATTTGTACTAATTAAGGTGGCAATTTCACTTGTTTAAGATTTTTCTATTAAAGCTATCCACTTTAAAGTACTGCATGTCAACTTGAACACGTACCTGTCTAAGTTTTGAATTTTTGACCCATTTCTAGAATAGCACAAATAAATTAAGCATAAATGATATGAAATTAAATTAACTCATTCAATATTAATTTTGTACTCAAATAATCTTATAATCATTATTATTATTATTATTATTTTAATATAACGGAAAATACTAGTAACAATCTCGCAAATCCTCTGGTTGTCCAAGTGTCCAATTCCATTCTTGAAAAATATATTTCTTGTGCTGCACTATCTTTGCTGCCACTGAATTGGAATATAATCAGCTAAAAATAGAAAATATTATTATACTTTTACAAAATATTACTCTGAATATATGTCTTGATCTTATTGGGTTTTGATCAGAATTTTTTTTTTTTAAAAAATTATGATTCCATTTTTTATAAGACAGTCGGTACATGTTATGCTTGCAGGTAAAACAATAGAGTAAAAAGAGAATAAAAGTAAAATATTATTCGATAAAAATACTTTTAATTATATACCTCCATGGCTCCATATCCAGTTATTACAGCTTTCAGGTACTGTCCTGTCAATCTGTCATGGGCCTAAAAGTCAACATGTTTTCGTTGTCTATGTGAGTTACAGGGACAGTGGTGGCCCTTGGTGAAGCTAGGAATTCAGTGTCCCTATAAATTTTGTAATGATGGGTCAATGACAAGAACTCAACTAGTGATAGTATGAGTAAAAGGTGTTTGGAAAAAGACCTCTGAGAACTTCCTCATGCTATGTTTAACTGATGATGACAACAATACAGACCATTCCTATGATTATTGCAGGAGGACAGGTAAATTTCTTTCTACCTCTGTAATTTTGGTGAATTTGTACTGTAGTCATTTGAGGGATAAACAATTCAAGATTGATCTAAAGTGGGAAAATCTCAGTCAAATTGGTCAGACTAGTGATTTAGTAATCACAAGGTTACAAGTTTGACTCCCAACAGGAGCGGCGTATTGGATTTCTTGGTTTGAGCTGATCAATTATGACAACCTAGGTTGTTTACCTTCTTGTGGTTCTTTCTCGGCTAGGATCACAAGACAGTTTACCTAATGCACACTGTTGGATAGTGGCTCACCAAAAAAAAAAAAAGGATTGACACAAAGTGTGGATGAGGAATAACCACTATAGTTGCCACTATTGTACACCACAAACAAATATGCCTTCTTGACAGTGACAAATCACTAGATGCAGTATAAAACTCTAACCCCATTGGCCCTTTTATCTTTCTGTACTTCAGCTTGCTGCCCAGCTTTCTACCGCATAACCATATCTTGCTTTACTGTTGGGAATAATATGAGGAATGGCTTTTGGATCCAATACAAGTCCTGTCAGCTCTGAATCCTTATCGCCTTCTATCACACCAAAGGGATCAGTCCTTGAGAGAATTTTCTGCAGGATGTTTAGCTCTGGGATGTTTTGCACAAGCAACCAATCTCCTAGTAGCCGGAGAAATTTCAATAGGGATGTAGAAGAGGAAGAATTTCAGGATGCAAGTACCCTTTGTTTATCTTCATACTATAGCGTTTTTGTGGTCCGCCTTGCTATCATGGTATGTGAAAGATGATGTTTCTCAAGTCTGCACTCATGTTTAAATGTGATTTCTTATGTGATGTCATAGTACATTCTTGTGTCTGCACATCTTATCTTATCCATCTTCCTCTGGAATCTTGGTACATGTACTCCATTTTCCATTTTTGGAAATTAGAAAATGTCATTCTTAATTGCCAATCTCATAGTGTGAACTTATGTATTATTCTCTTAAGTTCTGTTTTTAAATTTGGTAAATTGGTTTTGCAGGTCATGCTAGCAATTTTGATTGGATTGCTAACCTTACTAACATGGCATTTTACCAGAGTTTACACAACCAGGTCATTGAACACATTGGCATTTGGGCTTCGACATGAGCTACTTCAAAGGCCTATTTTGCGAATGTGGAACATCCTCAATTCTACTGTCGAAATAGCAACTGCCCAGGTTAAATTGTCAGAATATGTAATCAAACGATATAGCAAGCCTGTAAATCAAGCACAGCAAGCTGAGGTTGTTGCACCTTCTTTTCCTTGCCTAATTTTTTTTTTTTAAATACTTCAGATTAGTTAGGTAAGATATTTCAAGCTTAATGTCATTGATTTTCTTCCAAATCTCTGCTCTCAACAGCTATATGAAGTCATGAGGGATGTAACATGGGCATTGTTTGCCAGCCGGAAGGCTCTGAATTCGATAACAATCAGTTACAAAAATGGTTTTGTCCAGGCTTTCCACAGAGACCATAGAAGTAACAATACATTCTACATATACTCAGATCTTTCCAATTATTCAATAAGTGGAACATACGATGTCAGTATGTTGACATCTCGTCAAGGGTGGAACGACCAATCTATACACAACAACACAACAGCAATTTGGTACAGAGAAACTCTGGATCCTCTGACAGGTGTCAGGGTTGGAAGAAAAAGTCAAATTCCACCAGATGAGTTAATCAATATTGCAGGAATTTCGCAAGTACCTGATGGTGCAGCGACATGGCATGTAGCGGTAAGCAAGTTCAGTGATTCACCGCTGCTTTCTTCTGCACTTCCAGTTTGGGATCCATCCAATGAAAGCATAGTTGCTGTTGTGGGAGTTACTACAGCTCTTTATAGTGTTGGTCAATTCATGAAAGAAATTGTGGAATTCCATAGTGGACATATTTATTTAACATCTCAAGAGGGTTGGTTACTTGCTACTTCCACAAGTACTCCTCTCTTGAGGAACTCAACCACACGACCCGAGCTGATAATGGCTGTTGATTCTGAAGACCCTGTAATAAAAGCTGGTGCTCAGTGCTTGCAGAAAGAATATGGGAACAAGTTTCCCCCTAGTAATGAAGTTCATATAGAGAATGCCAAGCTTGGAGATCAGATGTACTATATTGACTCTTTTTTCCTGAACTTAAAGAGACTTCCTTTGGTAAATCCAGACTCCAAAGCATTTATAATTTTCAGTTTAGACAGCTAAAGAAATTTTAATAAGCAATTCTTTGCAGGTGGGAGTTATAATTATTCCAAGAAAGTATATAATGGGAAAGGTTGATGAGAGAGCTTTCAAAACATTTGTGATATTGATATCTGCATCTATATGCATCCTATTCATTGGGTGTGTCTGCATATTCATATTAACAAATGGAGTATCAAAGGAAATGAAACTGAGAGCAGAATTGATAAGACAGTTAGATGCAAGAAGGAAGGCAGAGGCATCAAGCAACTACAAAAGCCAGTTTTTAGCAAACATGAGGTAAGCATCAAAGTCAAGGTCATTTAACAATCTAATATGATATATTATATGTGAATAGTTATGGTTCTTACTGCCATTTCTACTTTTCTGTCTTCCTGGATTGTGTTTCCTGACTTGACACCCATAACATGAGAACTTTCATTAAAAGATTGAAACATAATGCTACTTCTATAAGTCTGAGGCAGTTGTTCTTAGTTGGAGATTTGTTTTCGTATTTCGCATTTATGATTCCATTTGCTGGTAACTTATGGTGGTCATAAATCAAAATAAGGAGATCTATTATTGAAGAAATTCATTTACCCAATTTCACAGTTATAATCTGAACTTCCTTTTGCTTCATCTGTATGCACTATGTATCTTTGTATGTCGTAGAGATATTACAATGTTCTATGTTTTGTTCTTTATACTAGTCTACTTCAGTGACTCTTAACACAGAAGTATTGCTTTCTTTGATATCAGTCTTCCCTTTTCAGCTAAAACTTGTATCTTTAATGATCTTAAAGTTTCATGTTTCTGGAGTTACTTCATGTTTTTATTTTTTCAGTCATGAATTACGAACACCTATGGCTGCAGTGATTGGCTTGCTGGACATTCTTATATATGACGATTGCCTAACAAATGAGCAATATGCAACAATTACTCAAATTCGCAAATGTTCTACTGCTTTACTTCGGCTTCTGAACAATATTCTGGACATCAGTAAGGTGAGATTTGGACAAATGTTCCATTGTCAGGAGGAGATCGAGACATCATATGTATGTTATTGGTTGGTTCTGATGCAGGTCGAATCTGGAAAGCTAGTGCTGGAAGAGACGGAATTTGACTTGACTCGTGAACTTGAAGGTCTCATTGACATGTTCTCTGTCCAATGCATTAACCACAATGTGGAGACTGTTCTAGATCTCTCTGGTACAATCACTTCCTCACTAGATCTATAGTAAATGCAAAAGAGAAGCAAAGCCTGGCAATTGAAATATGGAACTGCTGTTCTGCTTTCTTAGTTCTCAATGGACAATATTTACTCTATTTTTCTTCTCAGATGAGATGCCAAAACTAGTCAAAGGAGACTTGGGAAGGGTTGTTCAAATATTTGCAAACCTAATCAGCAATTCTCTGAAGTTCACTACTTGTAAGCGTGCTTCACCATTGATAAATTTGAATTTCTATCTAGTTTTGCTGATTGGATTTAGAAATTACATTACCTAAATGTGTCTATTGTTTCAAGATGGAAACAACTCAAACAAGAATAATAGATCTTAACAGTTTTGGCTAAGCAATGCTCAATGCTTCTTCATTTGAAATTTACATTTAGATCATTCTCAAATGCCTTTCAGCTGGATATATTGTTCTGCGGGGATGGTGTGAGAGCCTGAATGATCTCACAAACAGCAGGAACTTTTTCTTCAATCAGAAGGATTCTTGGTCTGCACCTAAAGTGAAGTTGAAGCGACCAGAAAGACATGAAAGAAGACCCTTCAAGAAAGATAGCAAAACAGTTCTTTGGTTTGAAGTTGATGACACTGGTTGTGGTATAAATTCTAAACTTGTAAACAAAATATACAAGGGAATTCTTGGCATAGGAGATATACAGCTTTCACTACTATATACTAACTTCCCATCTTATATTCTTATCTAGGAATTGATCCAAACAAATGGGAATCTGTATTTGAAAACTTTGAGCAAGCTGATCCCTCAACAACTCGATTGTAAGTAGTTTACACATCGCTATACTCCCATATGATAACTGTTTATTGAATGGATGAAAGTTCTCAGTGCCAACTTAGTATTAGACTGCCCTTTGTTAGATTGTTAGTTTATGTTAGTAGTTAGAGCAAAACATTTCATGCATCTGATTCTATTATATCATCTCTATGCAGGCATGGTGGCACTGGTCTTGGCCTATGCATAGTACGTTCCCTGGTGAGTCGTGAGCTCCAATTATTCCATTGCGAATATGAAAACATATTTGGTAACTTTCTCCAACAGGAAAACGAGGGTGAAAAAGGGAGTGATTTAGGATCTTGTCTTATGCATAAGACACCACTCTATTTGTAGATCTAATTGAAGCATGTGTTCCATCTCAACTAAAACGGACGGTGGGTTCCAAGCAACACATGGACCATAGTCGCACGTAGAGATTCGAAACCATGACCTTTAGTCTGGCTCTGATACCAAATTGAAGCATGTGTTCCATCTCAACTAAAAGCCTAAGCTGATAGTTGGATTACACATTAATGGTTATATGCTCAACAGATCTAAAGGCCACATTATATTGTTCAAGAGTTTAGGCCAGAATAAATAGCAAAGAGCAAACCAAACCTACTGCATCTACCTCTTTGAATCTCTTTGTAGTTAACACTTTCTAATGGAGAGAAAGGTTTTGACAGGTGAACAAAATGGGTGGTGAGATCAAAGTCGTGAAGAAAAATGGACCGGGAACTCTGTTGCGGCTTTACCTGTTACTCAACACTCCCACTGATGGTGCAGAGCAGCATAGCCATCCAACTTTAGCAGAGCAGACGACGACTGTGAGTAAAAATATTTCTGCATCCTACCTGTGTTTATGCAGATAAATTCTCGCAAATTGGCATGTTGGAGAAACAATTTTCTTTTGATAAGTGCAGGTGTTGCTTGCACTTAATGGCAGAATGGGTAGGCTAATCATGTCCAAGTGGTTAGAGAAAAATGGGCTACATACCTGTGAAGCAGCAGACTGGAATGAGCTAACACAGATGCTTCAGGGGGTTTTCGGATCCAAAAATAGTGTGCAAGATTCTGGATGTGAACATTTTAGCGATAATAGTTCGACACTTTTGATCGTAGTTATTGACATTGGCCTTCTTAACTTGAGCACAAATATTTGGAAGGAGCAGCTAAATTTTCTGGATAAGTACAGTGAGAGAGCAAAGTTTGCATGGGTTCTTTACCATGACACTTCCAATTCCATCAAATCTGAGCTGCGCAAAAGAGGGCATCTGATGATGGTAAACAGACCCCTCTATAAAGGAAAAATGATTCAGATTTTGGAAGCTGCTTTCACAAAAGATAAAAATCTCAAGTTGCAGTCTGCAGAAAATACAGCTATACAAGTAAATATGCATGAATGCCATCATGAAATTGATGCCAGCCACTCATGTCTCACTAGCCCTGATGATTCTGACAAGTCAGAAACTGGGAATGTTAGACCTGTGAGGACATTCCTTGCTGGAGAGAAGACCAACAAGCATTTCCGGAATGTATCTTCTTCCTCACTCTATGCCACACTTAACAACTACTTTGTCGACATCACTCAAGTAAATCCGGGAGAAGATGATGCTTCAAGGGAGGATGATAGAAGAGGAAACAGGAACAGATCAGAAGAACACTCGGGAAGCACTCGTCGTGTAGAATTAAGCACTGTCAGCTCTAGTAAGACAGCGAACGAACAAAAATCTCTGTCAGGGCTGCGAATCCTACTTGCTGAAGATACACCGGTACTTCAGAGAGTTGCAACCATAATGCTGGAAAAAATGGGAGCTACAGTTGTGGTTGTTGGAGATGGACAACAGGCAGTCGATGCTCTCAAATTCTGCAGAAATGGTCCAAATGGATCTTCCCAGGAAGACGACACCTCACCAACCTCACCAACTGAAGGATTCTGCTCTCCACCTTATGACTTGATCCTGATGGATTGCCAAGTAAGTAAAATAATGATTACATTTCGAGGCTGCTATAGTGCTATCATATCAAATGGAACAACGAAGTGATTAACAAACTAAACCTTTTTTCTTATAGATGCCAAAGATGGATGGCTATGAAGCAACAAAAGCCATTAGAAGATCGGAAATGGAAACTGGTACACACATTCCTATTGTGGCATTGACAGCTCATGCAATGTCGTCGGATGAAGCAAAGTGCCTGGAGGTAGGAATGGATGCTTATTTAACAAAGCCCATTGACAGCAAGCTAATGGTCTCCACTATCCTTTCATTAACAAAGAGAAAAAACTGACTGTTAAATGTAAAAAGAAAGAGCTACAGAGGGAAAAAAAAAAAGGAAAGCAAAATAAACAAAACAACAAAATAGTTAGCTAGCTAGCTTTATGCTGTTCTGCAGAACATCATGTAAAACATTTTGTGAGCTATAGCAGCCAATGTAACACACCTTTGTATATTTGTGTAAATTTTTCCACAAAAGATGTATCAAAATGACTTCTTGCATACTAGTCTTTGTGTTGAACTGCATTAATCTTGTCCTCAGAATGTATACAAGTACAATTATTACTCCGTATATGGTATACTATCTTAAAAAAATGAACTTTCAGCATACTAGAAATGAACAAAATTCAAAATTTTGGCTCATGCAGGTCTTGAACCTGCGACCTTCACATTATTAGCACAACGCTCCAACCAACTGAGCTAATAGGCCAATTGATGTTAAATAGCAAAAACGATAGTATGTGACTAAATTTGGAATTGTCACAAAAGACAAGGGACCTCTGGTGAAATTAACTCTTGTTATATTGAGATACAACGTTATGCTTTTTGAATGTTTATTGCTTTGCCTATATATAGTTTTGATGTTTTGGCCTTGCAGTATTATTCTTAGCATAAGGTTGATAACCAATTCCCTATCTCATTGTGTTGTCCTGGCTTTTAATAAATTGTACTACTTCAGCTTTATTTGTTAAGATTCTTCATTGTTATTGGTTCATGAAGAGGATCCAAGATTCCCCTTACTTGCCAATGAAAAGGAAAATGAAGATGAGAAAAGAAGTGACGCGCGGTGAGATTGTGAGCCCACCTAACCTTCCCCTCACTCTATTCTGCACTTAATTTAAAGAATTCCCCCTACACTTATAGCATCAAGGTAAGGATGCAACTTAAAAATAATATCAACTTATAATATTATCCTCTGTTAAAAATAATAAATAAACATTAGAAATATTATTTAAATATACAATCACACTTAATCTCTCAAAAGAAAAGTTTATATGTGCACGCAGATTATTTGTTTTTTGTGTCATTTTATATATTTCCTAAAAACTGAACTTTCAGTACATAAATGAATATTCGCGTACTAAAAATAAACAAAACACAAATCTTGGCCCATGCAGGTCTCGAACCTGCGACCTTCGTGTTATTAGCACGACGCTCTAACCAGCTGAGCTAATAGGCCAATTGTTCGAAATTTTGTCAAAATTTGTATATAATTGAACATTTAACGAGTATAAATATAGAAACATTCTTTAACCGGAACGGAAGAATCGAGGAAGAAATTTGAGATTCAGCCATGAAAGACGACTACGAGGTATGCCGGCAATTTAACCTATTCTCTTCAACGCTTCGTATGCTTTTCAGCTTTGATATCTACTCCGTATTTGCTTAATTCGAAACCTTAGCGGTTGTTCCTGATTACCGCTTCAAAAGCCTATGCCGTTTCTTCGCCAAGATTCTGGACCCAATTTGTTGTGTTTAAGAAATTTTGTGAAATTTTTATTATTTGAAATCGGATTTTGCACTGTTATATCACAAAATGATCAATTTTTTGCGCCATTGATTTGATGCTTGTGTTGTATTATTATTCACTCGTGTGTATGACTTCATCGAATGATTAAAAGGGATATGGTTACTGGTTTTACCAGAAGATTGAGTTGCTTGTCTAGTTCTTTTCGGTTTTTAGTAAATTGGATTCAATGTTAGGGCTATGAATTAACATTCCTTTTTAGAAGGATCACTGCATCTCTAGTCCAAGTGAGCTATTTCTTGAGCTTGAGTAAATAGTTAGCTTGGAAGAATGGTATGAATACTACTCAATCAAGAATAACCATTTCTTGTGCTGTTTTCTGCTCACCATGGTGGTAGTAATACATACATTTGTCTATTGTCTAATCAATTTCTGCCAAAAGCTTTGTTCGAATGATTGGCACCAGACATATATCTGCGCCAATTAAGCAGAATATGGATTCTTTGGTGGCGGTTAGAGCTAACCGGTTAGATTCAAAATGGCCCGGTTGTCTACAGAATATATGGATCAGTCGTGTGGTTTGGCCCATGTGTATTATAGTCCAATTGAGTGACCCTAGCTCAATATTAGATTATTACATTTGTCAAAAGGATGTGCATGTAGTGTGTGTCTAGGATAGAGGAATGAAGAGAGGTAGGGACTCACCCCAGGCTCCTTACTTTTTCAATTATCATCCACCAAGGATTGACAAGTTTTTAACATAGAAATGGTGCTTGATATCTCTATTTATTTTTATCGGTTGAGAGGGGTACCAGATTCTAGACGAGTAGGTGTTTTATTCATATGCATATAAAGTGCTTCAAACAGGATTTGTGCCTTGTATTTCCGCTTGTTATTGTCTTTATGTTAATTGCAGAGTGAACAAAAGAAACAAGCTGCTGCAGATGTATTGTTTCAATATTCAAGGTTTGTCATGGCCTGTATTGGGAATCAAGTCCGGCCTTGTGACTTAAGGATGCACTTGATGAAGGTAACACACTAACACCATAAGATCATCAATTCTTTAAAGAAAAAACTTTTTACATGTGATGATAAAATACACAGCGGGATTTGTTGTTCTTAATTTCAAGTACTCATCAGAGAATTAGGTGAAAAAAAGAAACTATTAGACATATTCCCCCTTGTCTCGAGCAATTTCTGAGTTTGCTTTCAGTATGCCGGAGAGAAGTAACTCTGTGAATACCTTTGAATATTCTACAGGAGGTTTCAGGCTTGCCAACAACTTTGAAGAGGGAGACCCGTGTAGCATCTTCTCCCGACATAATGGGGGAATCTTCAAGCTCGGGGACTTCCAGACTTGATAAAACCGATAGTTTCCGGGGTGTCTAGACTGGACAACAATATCCTCATCTTTGTTTCAAAGTACCAATCTGGTTCCTTTGATCCCCACACTATCTAGCAGGACATAAAAGTTGTCAATGTAAAGGGATATATTAGTGTCATCATCTGCTGTTAAAAATGATCCGGTGTAATTCGTACGGTGTAATTCGTACGATTTCATTTTATATGCATTCAGATTGAGATTGAAATGGATTATCTACAAGCTAGTGCTAAATGGTATTTGTTCCAAGTCCATGAAATCGCTTTTCTTTTGTTAAACATCTGCGAGTTAAGTTGATCATCGTTTAATTACTTATTACATTAAAAATGAATATCGATACAAGATTCTCAAACTCTAGAGCTTGATTTCATTTTCTGTGACTCATTTAATAAAGTAATTATTTTTTTAAAAAAATGTTTTTAATACGAGGATCGAAGAAAAACACTAACAAAATCTTATAAAAGTAGACAAGTTTAGATCTAACAACTTTAAAAAATGTTATTTTGACGTATTAAAAAACACAAACAAGCAGACAAAAATTAGGATTTAAATCCCTCAAAACCATATAACCAAACACATGTAGCGATCCTTTTTTAATTAATAATTGAATTGAGCTCGTGTGTGAGGCTGAAAAAATGAAATAAAGTAATATTTAGGGTAGGGCCTTGATGAACTTGTGCCAGAAACCATTTTCTCCCTATTTATATTTTCAAATTCTACTTCAATTTTTCACTATTTATATTTCCAAATGAAATAAATTATTGTTTGTCACTGACAAACAATAATTAATTACTTTTATTATGTCAGTCTTTAGAAAAATATTTATATCAAAAATTTATAAAAATTAAGAGTATAAAATAAAATGAGAGCAATCGGTATTTTCCTTTGAAAAAGGAAAACTGTCTCTACCTACCAACCACCCTTCCACTCCTACCCATCTTATGTATTTTCCACCTAAAATCTAAAAACTCCCAAAATGCTTAATCCTCATTTCCACCTTAATCGCGACGTTACTTTCTCTCTCTATGGCGTCTTCCTGTTTCTGCCCACCTAATCCCGCCTTCTCCGCAAACTCCCACCGCAAAGCCACCCTACGTGACTTCGCCGTGCGCCTCCCTGCCTCCGCTACTCTTCCTTCTCGGTGCCGTTTGGAGTCTAATGCTCCCAACCGACTTAAGGTGTTTGCGAGCTCCGCGGTTCCCGTGATGGATCAGTCTCCTCAGAGTAAAGCATCTTCTCCCGTTCCCACCATTGTTGAGGTTGATTTGGGTGACCGGAGCTACCCGATTTACATCGGCTCTGGACTTCTTCAACAACCTCAGCTTCTTCAGAGGTAACTCTTTAATTACTCTCCTTCTTCTTCTATGGTGTTTCTCTGATTGAATTTTAGTTAATCCATCTAAAGCTCTGTTTTATTTTTTAATTACTCTACGTTGATTCTCGGTATGCCTAAGTGTTTGTTTGTTTGTTTCCTTCACGATGTAGCTAGTTTTTATCATTAATTTTAGGATCACAATCTTTTCCTGCTTTATTACATTACAGGCATATTCATGGCAAGAAAGTTCTTATAGTCACAAATACTACAGTAGCTCCATTATATCTGGACAAAACTATCAGTGCTTTAACAGATGGAAATCCTAATGTTAGTGTTGAAACTGTGATCTTGCCAGATGGAGAGAAATTTAAGAACATGGTAGGTATCCTGAGGCCTTGATATATGAATTTCAAGAGGAAAAAAAAAACAAAATAAAAACTGTTGTGATTATGATTTTATTGGTGTTTTTTGCAGGAAACTCTCATGAAAGTTTTTGATAAAGCTATTGAATCACGATTGGACCGACGGTGTACATTTGTTGCTCTCGGTGGTGGAGTTATTGGTGATATGTGTGGATATGCTGCTGCTTCTTATCTCCGGGGAGTTAATTTTATTCAGATTCCTACGACTGTTATGGCACAGGTACAATGAGTTTCCCTCTTTTGAATCTAACTAATTGTATATGAGGCTAGCAACTGGGGAAGTGTATTGTCTATGATGCCTAACAATTTTTATTTTGTATTCTTTTTGTTCCTTTAGGTAGACTCTTCTGTTGGAGGGAAAACTGGAATTAACCACCCGCTTGGTAAGAATATGATCGGTGCCTTCTACCAACCTCAATGTGTGCTTGTAGACACGGACACCCTGAATACACTGCCAGACCGAGAACTAGCATCTGGCCTTGCTGAAGTTATAAAATATGGACTTATTAGAGATGCGGAGTTTTTCGAGTGGCAAGAGAATAATATGTCAGCATTGCTAGCAAGGTGAGTTTAGTGATTTTTTGTCTATGATTTATCGATTCTGTTTTCCTTTTGCAAGCACTTCATTAGTCATCAAACACTTACCAATTATTTATAAAGTAGCAAGTCAAATCATCAATCTTCTTGAAAACATGCGATTTCTCGTCTCTATGAGCATTAAATTGCATTTTTCAGGCATAAAATAGGATAGGGTGATCTCTTTTATATTGTAATGATGATGACGATGATGATGTCTTGATGATATATTATAATGTTTTGTCTAATTGAAACATTGCCCGTATCCATAAGAAATTTTGTTGTTGCAGGGACCCTGAAGCATTTGCTTATGCCATAAAGCGTTCCTGTGAAAACAAGGCAGAGGTTGTGTCCTTGGATGAGAAAGAGAGTGGATTGAGGGCCACTTTGAACTTGGGTCACACCTTTGGCCATGTAAGTTCTTGCATTCTTGTGGTGATACTCTCATTTGTGAGAAAGAGGGACTTCCTATACTATTATGCTTCCAAATTGATTTCATTTTCACTGTTTATTATTTACTATATATGGTGTATGAGTTTAGTTTGATGTAGTCATCTCCCATGATATGATGCTCATTTCTTTTCAAATATGAAATGAAATGTGATGATTGCCTGAAAAGCTGCACTATTATATCCTTGGTTGGAAGATTAGCACTTTACTAATTTACTTTATTTCCGACCAGAAAATTAAAGTTGAAACTTGTAGTAATCTTTAGCAATAATTATAATTCCTACATTTTTGCAGGCAATAGAGACTGGTTTTGGCTATGGAGAGTGGCTGCATGGAGAAGCTGTTGCGGCTGGAACGGTATTATTATTTGTTTCATTCTTAGATCATAGATCATGAAATCTAAGTGGTTAATTATTTCAGGTTATGGCTGTTGATATGTCACGGCGCCTTGGATGGATTGATGATTCACTGGTACAGAGGGTGGATAAGATCCTTCAACAGACAAAGTTACCCACTGTGCCTCCAAAAACCATGACCATTGAGATGTTCAAGTCCATCATGGCGGTAAGATCGAATTAATTAAACTGTTTGGCCGCCACTGTTATTAATATATAATCTCAAGCTTATGTATTATTATGTTAATTAAAATGGGTGGCAGGTTGATAAGAAAGTGGCTGATGGGAAGCTCAGACTCATCCTTTTGAAAGGTGCTCTGGGCAATTGTGTATTCACAGGTGACTACGATAAAAAAGCATTAGACCAAACACTCCATGCCTTTTGTAAATCTTAATCACATTTTTTGGTTGTAGCAGCAGGTAACAAGTTAGTTACTCTTTGTTTTTGCATGATGTTCTTTGTCTTGTATATTAATACAGTTGTGTTGACAATTTTGTTCCCTACTAAGTTCTTTTTTGTTCCGTACTTAAGTTTATTTCAAACAATGCTCTTTTTTTTGAGTGACCTCCCATTTGAGAGAGTGAGGTGCCATTGAGCTACAAGCTACTTGGCAAACAATGCTCTTAATACATTTATGTTTTTGAGAATAAACTATATGAAATTAGTAATGTATATGTATTTATTGAATATTAATGATTGAGAGAAAAGGGTAGAAGGGTTGTGTGTCCACGGCAACAGTTGTTCAATCTGAACATTAATTAGTAGGATTAAATTAAAATAAAAAAACTGTTATGCTTTCGTGATTTCTTCTAGTTGAAAGCTATTCAGATCCACACAGCTGAAGCAAAGAGTCCCAAAGGAAAGCCTTCTGCGGGCATGCGGTATTCAGTAATGTCTTCAGTCCACTTACTTGTAGCCTTTCAAACTCAATCCCCAGTGACTCCACTTGTATTTGCTTAAGAAAGAAACATAAAATGTAAACTTTCTGATCAAAATTTTTTACAAAAAAAAAAAAAAAAAAAAAAAAAAAAAAAAAAAAAAGAGAAAGCAAATCCTAATATAGAATGGGGGCAGTTACCTTCTTAAGCCACATAATATAAGTAGCAGCATATATTGCCTGAGCTTGATAGTCATTGAAGTGACCATCAATTATTGTTGCACAGGAACTGAACAGTTGTAATTCATTATCTATGAACCGGTCAATTTTGTATGCGCTGCTACTTTTCTTACTAGAATGCCAAGGTTTATGATGATTAGTACTAGCAAAATGCTTTATCCAACATGATGCAAGGAAGCGACGGTGAAGCCACAAAGCCTGGCAGCCAGATACAAACATTACAGTTAATCATTCATGATCATAGACTCAAGAGTGCAACAAGCTTCTTTTCAAAGAAATGTTTTTTCGCGGTCCATTTGGCATATATTATTAGCTTCAGTCCAAACTTTCACGACTAACTAGACATTATATTCCTTTACATGGTGACCTATTGCTACCTTTCACATCAAAGTATCTCATAGTAATAAAAGACTGATCAAATCATACATAATTACATACCTCTCTACCCACATAGAGCTTTATCAACTTCTCACCCCAGTCAAGCTCATCCTGATAATTTCAAAATCCAAAGTTAGAAAAATACAGTTCGAAGGTTAAATAAATGAGCAAGGTCTTGATTGGAGTACAGTATGTTGCCCAAAGCAGTACATAAAATTTTATAGAGAAACTTTAATCATTTAGTCTATAGGGTACCTTCCACATCTCATCAAGTTCTTCGCCAGAAAATCCATTTTGATCTTTGTTCAGGAAAGCTTCTAATATCCTGAGCATTAACCTCTGCCATTCAGCAAAAACACTGTTACAAGCTTTCAGCATGCGCACACACACACATATGAACTAAAAAGAAGAGTTTTCAGTACATTTGTTTAACACACCTCAAACGAATTAACAAAAGGCAAATGACCAATAAGGGCTTATTTTCTATTTCAACTTGGCTTGAGGAACTTATGTTGGAGTTTATGCTTGAGGCGTTGATTTCTTTCAGTACATACATTTAACATCAAGTTTGATGAGAGAACTAGTGTGCTGAAGTAGTTTTGGCACAGGAAACCGCTGATGGTGCAGTGGTGATGCAGGAATGAAGCAATTTAAATCCTACTCAATTGGCCAAAATGACAAAGCAAAGGATGATGAAACGTGTCTAGAGAATTTCCATTGATAAATTAAGGGCACGCTCATCTTTCAAGCTAAACACTAGCTCAACTTAATGGAGTCTTACTATATGACTAGTGCAGGAATGCTATTTGAAGTTTCAAAGTAAAAATCCTCTCTCGGGGCCTTGGGGGTTAGCGGGTTGCACATGCACCCTGTCATATACCAATAGAATTGATATACGTGAATCCTTATTAAACAGGAGATCATTACAACAAAAATATTGCCAATATGCGCTCTTATAGTCCTATTCAAACTAACAATATAAATATTAACAGTTCAATGCAATAAAAGATTTTACTATGCAGCCTTATCCAAAATGGTACTCCGTATTATAAATTTTCTGTGAAGAACATTTTAGAGGCATCTGAGCATATATAATATCTATTTAAAGAAGAAGGGTTCAAATAGTCACTAAATATATAGCTTATGCTAATGTTCTGGATGTTGTGGTGAATGATCTTAGGAAATACTCAGAGTGCGATAATGAAAGCAGGAGTTATCAGCAACATTAAGTACAGCCCACTCTCGAGACTTGTTCAACTCATGGAACAACTGGAGAAATTTATGGACACTTAATACCTGAATGGTATTATTTGACACACAAGTATAATTGCTAACTTGCATCTCCTACTTTCCAAGAAGTAAAAGGTTATTGAACAAAGCAAAGCATGTCTTCAGGCATATAAACTTTTGACTTACTTGTCCTACTGGCATGTAGGCTACTAACCAGCAACGATGATTCCATGCACGGTAGTTCATTTTTGATCTCTGAAACGGAACATAGAACATGAGTCACTTTCTTTCAAGAAAGAACAAAAAGCCAACAAAACAACTAGTATTAGATCAAGGAAGGCATGCATCTAACACTCCTGAACTAATATGCATCTAATTTACCCCAGTTTATATCTGTTGAAACACAAAAGTTGTGTCTCTTAGTTGTGTAGGGTTGTGGCTGTAGGATTGTGTCTCTTAGTCTGTATATATTTATCTGTTGTCTCCCCATTGAGACAAGAAAGTAATAACAACTCTTTCTACATCTCTCTCAACAATATCTAACATAAAACCTCAGCTAGTTTTTTAACAAACTCAGATTCTCTGTCCACTATCTCTTGAAGATTTGAACACTTTCCAGCAATCATCTTGATCACCCACCTCCTATCATTAGTTAGCATTTATAAGAATCATAAATTGAAATATTATAATATAACGACAGTTACAAATGGGATAGAAACAGAGGCCAGAAGTAAGATGTTTAATCTCACTACAAGAGAGAAGCATATCAAGAATTAGCAGATCACCAATGATTTTATTCTTTCTTGTCCTATCTTCTCTATGGACAAATTTGCATCCTAATAGTATCACCTTTCCTTACAAAGATTTGAAGCAGTATGTTACCTGTGACTCCATGCTCGTTCACTTTTAGGTGAATATGAGAGAACCAGATCTGACAAAACTAGTTCTTCCATGAACATTGAGTACTCCTGCTGCTCTGAAACAAGTAGCTTCCTGCATGTTTGGAATTTAATAAAGTGGCATAAAGGAGGAGAAGAAATGAAGAGAGACAATCTTCAGCATTCTAATTGCAGCAGCAAAAACGATAGAAGACTGGGGAAGAAAGCATATCAGTACATCTAAAGGATTTGTAAAAACAGATATTTTTTTATAAAAGAAGAGGAATATGAGAGATGCACAATGACAAAAAATAAAAAAATAAAAAAAAATAAAAAATGCCACTTAAACCAAGAAAACGGAAGGAAAAAAAAAACCACTTAAACATTCAAAGAAACTAACCTGAAATTCCATGCAGTACCAAAATCACAGCTTAGGAGCAAAATTGCTTTGCTATGCTTCATCACTTCTTTTTCAAGAATAGTAAGAGAAGGTGAGAGGCACTTTGGCACATTGCCCTCACCACATTCATCTTTAACTTTGGTATGCATCTTATACTGTCTCAGTGAATCCATGAATGCATACTTAGCTGCTTTGCACAGTGGAAGGAGAGCTGTAGTTGAGATACCCAACTTATGGTCCCTGCTCCAAAGAACCTTACCAGAAATATTAGCTTTGTCTGCTGATTGAGATATGGATTCAGCAGACCAGGAAGTACTGCCAACTTCTTCATTCAGTACATCAAATTGAGATGGATGGATAAATCCAATTTCATCACTGAATGCAAGAGAAGAAAAAAATGAAAAAATATAAGTTAAATGAAATGAAATACTTCTGTTAGAAGGCTCACTGGTCCTTCTCAAAGTACAGTCACAAGCAATTAGGATACACTATATCAGCAGAGGAAGCACATTTACACAAGCATTGATAGAATAAGCTGCCAAATAACTTTGAATCAATGTCATGCCCGATTTGGAGAAATTTCAGCACTGAATCTGTTATGAAGTTTAAGACAACCAGGAAATTTACAGAGATGCAGTCGCGGTAGTAAATGGCTCCATTGGTCCAATAATATGGTTCTGAAATTTAATCAATTACTTTCATCACACATAGATACTATAACTATCTTGCAAATCTTCACCATCGTGCACCATATACAGCAAAAAAAAAAACAAACAAACAAACAAAAGGAAGAAGAAGAAGGACAACTAAACCAATCCTTGTAAAAGCTTCAAACATTACACAAGAAAATAAAATCATTTAAGCGGATAAAATTCAGAGCTGAAATATTCATAAAACTCCAATATAAATTCTCCAAAGTAGGTCCTAAATTCTTTTGAAAAATTAATCTATTATTTCACTTCAAATGCTTGCTCCATCTGAGCGAGGGAAGGTTCTGAAAGCTTACATCAAAGGATCGGATTCTAATATATACTCCAGCTGGTTCAATAGATTCCATGGGATACTGTCGCTCATTGCCTTCAAACACACAGCGGAATCCGGCGAAAATGGCGCCGTACTGCCTTAAAAGGTGCGGTTACGGCAGAGAAGTGGCGGAAAAGATGCTTTTATTTTTATTTTTAAATTTTTAAATATTAAAGAAAAAAAACAGTAGAGATTTATGGTGGCAACTCGAAAAATGACTCCTGAAAAATATTTTATGAGTTTTAAATTTTTGGATGTAATAGAAAAATTCAGTTAATGAAAAATATTTTCTGTTGACATGAGAAAATGTAGGCATTTTTGTGAAAAATGACTTACTCTCAATTTTGACTAATTGGCTTAAGTCATTTTTCGTCAATATTGAAAATAGGGTTGCCTTCATTGTCGTCGTTGCCTTCGATTCCTCAGTTTTCATTCATTCATATATTTTCTATAATGCAACGAAACACTATAAATGAAAATATTTTCCGCAAAATGAGTCATTTTTTGAAAAATATTTTTCAAAAGTAATTTTCTCATTTCAAATAGTCAATGGTTGATAGCCATGTTAAAAGGAGGTTAATGGAAAAATGTGATGGGCCATTCTCTAGCAAAGAAAGCTCTTAGCTATACTGGAGAGGAAAGACTTGTGTTTCTTGATTTTATTCCTCGCTTTATGAGTGCGTTCCTTTGTTATGACTCAAGTTCAAATTAATATATTGTGATATTTTATTTCAAAAAAAGAAAAAAAAAAAAAAAAAAAAGGAGGTTAATGGACCTGGGAGAAGAGAAGGTTGATGGACCTGGGCTAACCATGCTTGACTTTTTGCAGATAGCCGTCTGGTATAAAAGTAGGGGTGCCTCAAAATTTAAGTTTAACTTGAACTCGATCAAATTTACAAATTTAAGTTTAAATTCGACTTGATTATTTAACAAGTTAATTTTTGTTTTTGTGAAACAATTTTACTAGTTTACACACACATATAGAGACAATTTTAATAGTTTACACACACATAGAGAGAGAGAGTGAGGGAAGGGGGAGGGAGAGAGAGAGAAAGAGATGGGTATTGAATTAAATGAGACTAAAGCATTAAGATAAAACTAAAAATTCTTTAAAAAAAAAAAAGAAGATAAAACTAACAATATATCTTAATCTTTTATTTGGATAAATCGGATAGATCATATTATATTTTTTTTATTAAAAAGAAATGTGATTATATTTCGTAGTTATCACCACCATTACTACGCAATCTAGAACACTAAATATGCATTTTTCATAATTTTACAAGAATGACATTTAGTTGTTACAAGATGCATATTTAGTATTAACAAAGTACACGTTTAATATTAAACAATTGCACTTACAAAAATTTAGTGTTTGGATTTTATAATTTATTAATGAGTTTTTTGTTTTATTTGGTGTAGGGTTCAATTTTACGGCTTAGGATTTAGCATTTACGATTAAGATTTAAAACTTACATTTTTTTCATTGATTTTTAAAAGTTATATGTGAATGTATACTTATTTGTCACAAGTGCATAATATAGTGTTATAAGTTGCAAAGTGAAGTTAACGATAATTACGAAAGTTTCACCATATTTTTTAAAAATTCGATTTGATACGTTCGATTTTTACAAAAGTAATACTGAGATTGATTCTTAATCTTTATTGATGGTGTGTTCTCATTTGGTAGGATTATATTTTTGGTAGAATTGTGTACTTCCAATTTCATATGCGTGCACTCTACTATAGTTTGTGTATATATGGGGCTAAGCCGCTAAGATATGCTGTATGTGTGCATTGTATTGTAATGTTATGTACATTACAAGGTTGTGTGTGTGCTTTTATTTCGGTGTGTACATTTAATCAAAGTGTGTTTTGTTGTAGTGTATATTGAATCGGGGCATCGCATACATTGCTGATTTGTTAGTGTGCATGTCGTCATTTATGTCAAGTCGTCATATGTTGTTATTGTCATTAGATTCATATGTGCATGCATGTGATATTGTTCATGCACTTAGGTATTGACAAATATTCAAATATCATAATAGTTAAAAAAAATCTTTACTGGCCATATTATTATCTGATCATAATATACTTTCTCAACCTACTGAAACACAAAAAACCAATAACGCCTTCACTAGGCTCAAACTTGTAACCTTCCAAATGGAAGTCCAACCCGGATACCATTAAACCACATAATCTTGGTATAGTTAAAAAAAAAAAAATATTGATAAATTGTATTTTTTTCATCTCGAGAGATCTAACAACTAGAAAAGTAAGAAAAAGAAACAAAAAGAACAAACAAACAAACAAACAAATACAACAATATTTTTGTAATTATTTGCACTCAACAAAAAATTTAACAATGCCTCCATGGATAATTAACAATATATTCAACACAAGTTTAATAAATATTTACAAACTTTTCAAAACTTGTAATATTCATGAAACTGATTATAAGTTTTTTTTCATAGTTTTTTTTTTTTAAATTATCGTTGATTAAATTAATTTTTTATTTTTTTACTGGAAGCATGGTTCTCGAAAATATAAAATAATTTATATTGAACTAAATCTAATTACAAGAGTCAATTTTTTTTTTAAATGAATGCTCAATATTTGTATTGGACTTTGTTAATAGAAAATGTAGCTTCCATTAATAATTTAAATTTAGTATAAAAATAGAAATAATGTAGTCAATGTAAACACTAACATTGACAAACATTAACATTTAATACAATTATTTAAAAAAGGAAGAAGAAGAAGAAGAAGGAAAGTCTGTTAAAATAAAATGGAATAAAACATTAATTATGGTTTAATGATTTAGACCCACATATAAATAAGGCGAGAAAATCGTTCAAAAATAGGCAATCCATAAGAGTATAGTTTCGGCGGGCTAAGTCGTCCGGTAATTCAGCTGCGAACGATTCAACGGCAATATTTTCCGGCGAGAAGGTTACGTAAGTATGTATATGCATATTCTGTGCTGTAGTATCTAGATCTCTCTCTCAATTCACTCTATGCTTTTCGCTCTCTTTCATTTATACTCTCGTTCAGCAATTTCCCCATTTTTGTGTTCCCGTTTCCTTAATTTATGGAATTAGGGATAGCCGGATAGGATATCTTGTTCACTTTCCACTGTGCTCTTTCGTGCATCGCAATGCAATTGGAGAGGTTGTAGACGGATATATATACATTTGTATACGTATTTACACGTATATTTTGATTCGAATTCAGGTCTTCTGAAGACGTAGAAGAAGATCTGAGGCCTTCAGAATGAGCGCGTCCAGGTTTATCAAGTGTGTCACGGTGGGAGATGGTGCTGTTGGCAAGACTTGCCTCTTGATTTCCTACACCAGCAACACTTTCCCCACGGTTCGTCTTCCCGCGCACCCTCAAAATTTTTATTTTTTTTTAACCTCATGTCCATGAATTTATCTTTGCTTGGTGGTTGTGCAGTGGTAAAGTACTGGGGTGGGTTGGGAACTGGAGTGGGGAAGAAGTTCTGCTTACTTTTGCATTACAAACCGTGGGGTTTTTACATTTAATATCTTGATTTCAGTGACTTATTTGAAAAGAACATCTTTACTTTAATGAAATATGAGTATCATCTAATTGCTTAGCTCCAGATAATTGATTGTGGAAAAACATAGGTATACCTAATGCAGCTAACTTTTGGAAATGATTTTAATATTATGTTGAATTTTATGAAAGTTGTTGATCTGTTATGCACATATATGCTAAGTTACTGGTGTTCGAATATTTCATTGTGGAATTTTTTAAAGTATTGCATGGGAAGGATTCCTAATTGGATGCCAAATTGTAATTTCATCTTTCATTAATGATGTGCTACAGGATTACGTTCCAACTGTATTTGACAATTTCAGTGCCAACGTGGTTGTCAATGGGGCTACTGTGAACCTTGGGTTGTGGGATACTGCTGGTAACTATTTGAAATGCAATGCTTTTGATTCTATTTGAATTTAGTCTCTATTCCGTTCAATGAAGCCCTATGTAATCTATAATTCCTAATATTTGCCAAAGATATAAAAGTAGATTATTTTATCTATAGTCCTGATAATTCAATTAAATAGGTTCTACCAGATGGGAACTCTTGTGCCTATATCCTTAAACATTTATTATATCTACATGACTTGTATATATTAATATGGGCCTAAGTTTGTTATATATAAACAGGACAGGAGGATTATAACAGATTAAGACCACTGAGTTACCGTGGAGCTGATGTGTTCATTTTGGCATTTTCTCTCATTAGTAAGGCCAGCTATGAAAATGTTTCCAAAAAGGTGAGGAGTTAATTGCCATATAAAAATTTCTTTGTTCTTTTGTCTTCTTGTTTGTTTTTGGCTTATGTAAAATTTATCTTCGTTGTGATGAATCTCTTGCCAGTGGATCCCTGAGTTGAAACATTATGCTCCTGGTGTCCCAATAGTTCTTGTTGGAACAAAACTTGGTGAGAAATACGTTCTCCTCTATGTTCTTTATGGGTTTTAGATATTTTCTGTTTCAGATGTTAAGGTCATAAATCACTTCAGTTTAACTAGCTTGGTAGAGAAATTTCATCATGCCTGTGCCTTTGATCAAAGAAAGCTTTTCCTATTTCCCTTGTTTTATTCTTACTGCTAGAGTCTACTAATACTCTAGTATATGTATATCTATTTCACTGTACTTGATTGGTCCATGTATTGGTTTGATTGTGTGTGGGTATTTTTTAATCAGTTCACATATTTGCTATTAGCTGGAAGCATCATTGGACTTGCCTTGAGGCTTCTATGTCTCTGGCCTGAAATGAAGAATTGAATGCTTCTTATGGTTTATCATCTTACTCTATTGTACTCAGATCTTCGAGATGATAAGCAGTTCTTTGTAGACCATCCTGGTGCTGTGCCAATAACTACTGCTCAGGTAAGGGTCGGGATTTCTTTTCCATTCTAATTTGTATAGAATGGAGGAGAGTTGATGTACAGTATAGTCTTGCCCTTTAAATGTTTTTTTGCGTGAAGGGGGAGGAACTGAGGAAATTGATTGATGCGCCTGCCTACATTGAATGTAGTTCAAAGTCACAGCAGGTCTGCATCTTTTAGCCTTGTATTTTCAGCGAAGAAGATGTTATGGATTATCATTGCGGGTATTTGTTGTTACAGAATGTGAAATCTGTGTTTGATGCTGCCATTAAAGTTGTGCTGGCGCCACCCAAGGCGAAGAAAAAGAAGGGAAAAACTCAGAAGGCGTGCTCCATTTTGTGAATGACATAAATAGTTCCATTTCAGGGATTCCACTTACTACTGCCATTCTCTTTGTATCCCTCCTTCATTTCCATTTCTCTTTCCTTTTGTTTCATCGAGGATGGATCGGAGGTCCTCTCACCGCATGTCAGATGACGCTACTAATGATCCTAAGTGTCAAGGGTGGCTGCTGAGTGCTGCTGGCTGGCTGGCTAGGTTTATCCATGTTGCCTCTTGTAGGCCACTCAATTGTGCCCTCTCCATTTTGATTTGCTTTATGATTCAATGACACAAAACATTTAGGGAAACAAAACAAATATGCCCGCAGCGATGTTGCCTTTTATATTTGTTGCTTTCTATTCTAAATTTGTCAAGTTCATTTTATAGTCAATTTGTAGGTGGTTGCTTATCTAAACTTTTTAGCTAAATGCTTCATTAACCTTTCCATCACCCATCTCTATTGTTCTGTTTTTCTATTCTTTTTTTTCTTCTCATTGATTGATGGAGCAAACAATTTTTTATTATTTTTTTTTTTTGGGATTTTTTTGATGCTAGACCAAGTTAATCTCAATACATGGATAAGTAATGATACGACATGACATTAAACAATGTTTTTATTATCAAAAGAGTTAATTTTACTTTTAGGGTGTGAAAAATAACTGAAAAGATAAATTTACATTTAAATTTTTAAAATAATAACTTAAAAAGATAAATATTTCTGATCGTCGTGGATCATCCACTCATCATATTTTATTTTATATTTTTGTATGATACTAGAAGAAACTGTGGTCACCATTGAATGTGAAAGTAAACAAAGCATGATAATGAATGAAACAACTACATTAGTAACGATATTCATCTCTTTTAACTTATTTGTAATGATTTAAAGTTTTCAAAAAAATAAAATTTAAATATGTTAATTACAAGTTTTAAAGAAATAAGTTGAACTTAAATTTGTGTGTGTGGTTAGTTTGTAGCTACTACTCTTTCCGTCCCATTTTATGTGTCTATTTTTAATTCAATTTTGTATTTATTGAACTTACTTAAATTTGTGTCTGGTTCGATTAATAAGGTTTGACTAAAGTTATTTTTAATCTAATTATATTACCACAAATACCACACAAAATCAATTCTTTACAAATTACATAATCGTTAATCCATGAACCATGACCGAGTTGCTTTTATACTATTGTCTCTTTTTTCAACTTTCATGGGGGTGAAAGCTGTGTACTAGTTGAGTTTCGAGATAGGTTGATGAAAATATTTTACAAAATTTGCACATTAAATAAATACAGAAAAAAGCTTCAGGTTCTCCAAATAAATTCAGCTTCAATCTTGAAAAACAGTTAGAGATTCAAGTTTCGTGTAACATTAGAAATTTGTTTCAATATTTGATTGTAAGAATGTTTTATCATTCCATCGATCTTATTGTAAACTTTTCATCGTATGATTAATGAATTAGCTCTTTTATTTCAAAAATAATAATAAATACTGAATAATTGTTAACCTTCTAAAAAGTTCTAGAGAGAAAATACCCTTTATAGAACATCAATTAATCGTTCCCTTTTCGTAACACAATTTATACCATCATCACAATCAGAGTGTACATTGCAAAACTTTGTACTATATTTCAATGTCAGAATATCAGAGTTCCAAGTCTAATCTTTAAAAGAGAAAAAAAGATAGAGAAGAACCTAATACAATGTTCAACACCTTCCCTAGGGAAATTTAATGAAGTATACAGAACCTTACAAAAAAATCAGGAATTCTCGACCACACTCACTCGTATACAACACCAAAGACGTGTTGAGATGCTGCTGCATTTGATTCGTTTTGTCATTGAATAACACGAGACCTATCTCCACCGTTGCAGTACAAGAACAGCACTTATCTGACCCAAAAGTGCACATTGTGGATGGATGGAGATCAAACAATCTAAATTACGACTTGATTGCCTCGTATTTCTCACCAACAGCTCCGCCTTTATCCTTCTGGAACTGGATATATCGCAGTGTGCTTGCAAAGAAAGCATCTGCAGCCGGATCTGATGTTGTATTGTCACTATGCATTTCGGTTGTAATTAGTTCATTCAGGCTCTGGATTGAAGCCACAGTAACCTCCGAAACCCCCTTCTCAAAGAAATACAGATACCTAAATATCAAACATGGATGGATAACCCCACTTCAGTCATGAATAATTTGGAAATTATAAAAAAGTTATTAACCATAAATAAAGAATCTGAGAAAATTTCAATTTTGGTCACATAACTATAGGGGCATTGTTAATTTCAACACCTGACTTTTAAAAATGTCAATTTAGTCCATTGACTATGTAATTTTTGTCACTCCGGCCAAATTGACGGTCAAATTTGGCCGGAAAAATTTAATCCAACATTTAGTCTAGAAAGGATCAAAAGACGATTTTGCCCCTTAGATTATAGACTAAATGTTTGATTAAATTTTTCCGGCCAAATTTGACCGTCAATTCGGCCGGAGTGACCAAAATTGACACAAATTACATAGTCAAGGTACTAAATTGACACTTTTAAAAGTCAGGTGCTAAAATTAACAATGCCCCTATAGTCATGTGACCAAAATTGAAATTTTCTCTAAAGAATCTATTCTCATACTTGTTCAGAATTTCTATGAAAAGTATGACTGATCCACTGCTGCCTCGGGTTACACTGGACATTTGTTGAGCAGCATTTGCAATCCTTAAGGCACGCTTCAAGCAAAGCAAGACCCTAGGGTAAAGAGAACAGGAAAATTTTCAGAAATTGGACCAAAAAAAAAGGTGAGAGGTCTCTATAGATAATAAGTTTAAAACTCAGGTACAGAACATTTACCAAGTTTCCAGTTTGGACAACAAAAAATTAATACTCGAGTATTATATGGTAGGTTACCCACCTCTCTCCATCTTTGATGTTATCCTGATCTTCGACCCAGAAGAGATGTGAACAAGCATAGACAGCTCTACACTGATCAGGTTTCTTCAAAAGCTTTGCAGAATACTAGGTAGTTGGAAAATAAGAGGTAAGATGTCCTGAGTTTCTAATACATTATTATACACTAAAGCTTGAAAATTCACAAGAAATATAAAATCTTTACCCCAGTGGCCTTATGCGTTAATGCATCCCTGTTCTCAATACCAAACACATGCATTCTCTGAAGAGTCCCTATTATTAAGTGTATAGCAGTCACCTGAGCTCTAGAGTCCTATCAAAATATCCAAATTCAAATTTAACTGCACATAAAAATCCGAACAAACACCAGGAATAAAGGAAAAAAAAAAAAGAAGCAACTAAATAGAACACAATAAATTGCTAATTACCGAAATTTCTTCTTCATATAATATATAGGCTTGGGTAAAAAATTCATAGGCCACAGGTTCTAGATCACAGTCATTGGCAGCCTGAGATCATACAAGAATGAAAATTGCAGGTCAAGAGAAGAAGTCATTTAGTCTTCCACAAGCTTAAAGGCTAAAGTCAAATACTAACCTCAGCACACTGCAAATACAACCGCAGTGCTAGTTCAGCCGCAGGAACATTTGACAGAACTTCAATTGTCTGAAACGAAATAGAAAAGATACTCCAGAATTTTAAGAGCTTAAAAGTATATGGACATATGCATTGCAGCATTGATATACATATTAAATTGAATCAAGAACAACTAAAGGATGGAAGAATGCAATGGGAAGAAAACAAGATGGTTCTTTAACATTTTTTAAGGCCAAGCGGCAGGGGGAAATGCTCTACATAAAAATATTTGAACAGATAACGACGAAGTGTATGATTTTGATACTAACTATTAAAGCTCCAATCAGCTGAATACCTGATTTAATATCTGAAATATTTTCTTTGGTGTAGCAGGCACCTCCTCGTCAGCACCATTATCATCTTGACTTTGCAATTGCCGAACCAACTTGATTAGCAGCAACAAGAAAAGGTCAAGTTTTCAACATCAATGACAAACATCTCTTCTTTTTATTTGGGGAGGGGTATGGGTGTGTGCATCCTTTGTAAGTTACTGCAGTCTAGTATTACCGATATCCTTCGGCTATTATTTGTTCTCCATGTTACAAAGTATTATTTAGATAAACAGGGAGCATAACCACATACAAATGTTTAACCTCAACATTTTTTGGAAGACCATTTGCTATAACAGTAAAACCATCTTTTCAAATATTTGGAGTGCATTTCTTCTTGAAAATGAGCAAATGTAGAATCAGTGAGTGAACGTATATAGCCCATTCTTTTATGTTTAAAATAATGAAATTCACAGGGTTAGTTCCATTCATCATGGAATATTAGAATAGGGATAAAAACAGAGCCAAACCTTCAGTGCATTAAAAACAAGGGGAGGGACAGTGAAGGGAATTCTCTTTGGTCCTCCAGTCAAAACATGCTTCTTCACAGTGCAAATGATCTGGCAACCCAACCAACAAAGTGTCAAAAATGTAAAGCTGTCATGTTATTTATTTGTTAAAAAGTTTATCAATTTCTTGTTTTTAATGCATTATACAAGCGATCTTAACATGACATATATTACAGAGTATCAGATCCTAATCAATCATAAAAGTAACTCTTGCAAAAAATAAAAATAAAAAGTGCACCTGTAGTATATACAGAATACACACACATAATGAGAGATCTTATCACCTCTAACATTTTCTCTGGATCATCATTGTGGAGCATCTGAATAAGTCTTGCAACAGAATTTTGCTCCTCTTGAAAATCTTCCTCGTCAAGCTGAAATATTTCAGGCAAAAAATTAAGGCACATATGATATCTCCAATAATTCATTTTAGATATTAAATAATTGGCGAGTGAAAAGCAACTTGAATCACCTCATCATTAAGAGTCTCATCTAAATCTCTAATAAGCCCTTTCATTAATCCAAAAAGTGCTTCAACCTTGCAACAACAATAATTTCAAGTCATAAAGGAGCATACATCAAAGTAGTTCTTTCTTTATTTTTAATTATTCATAGAATCATACCTTTTCAGCAGTTGAAATGCTAGTCTTGTTTTTCATAATATTTTGAACTATAATATTAGCCATCTCTTTGTTTGTTGCATCATCAAGGTACTCCATAACACGAGGATAATTAGAAAGCTTTAGCGCAGTATCTATATCCTTGTACTTTTCCAATGGAGCACTGAGAAGGGCAACAATCTGTTTTGTTGCTTTGGTATCCTTAAGCTTCCCTTTTCCTGAAAGTTTCTTCTCACAGGCACCCTGTGAGTGAGAAATGAATCTGATGAGTACACATTTTACATTAGCAATATATATATATATATATACACACACACACACACACACACACACACACACCCCATATCAAAGAGCCTAAATCAAGATGTTACTAAAGTAGGTATTTCATTAGTTATTAAAATAACAAGCAGCTAGCCTACCAGTATTTGATCCACATAGTCAAGTCGATCAGGGTGG